ACAGGCTTTCTCGAGCTCTCAAGGCTGCACCTCTTGAATCTCTTTTTACACAATTCTGTTTGCACTCACTGTGGTTTGGCAACTGCAATATCCGTGGTAGGTGCCAGTAGATCATGCCACATTTGGTCAGCCATGCATCATTATAAGCAAAATGGATTAAACTGCCAGTGCCGGGATGAAAGGAATTATCTGATTAATAAGATGTGATTGTGTTTTTCTTTTGTTTTCTGCATCCCATTTCTAGCCATTGCCTTCCTATGGATAGAGTTTGTCCGTGAAGTTCGATGGTGTTGGGAAGAGACACAGCCGTTGCCGAAAATGCCAATTGACGGTCCTATTGATTTGTCCACTTGTTTGATCAACCAGAAGTTGCACCTGGTAATTCTCTATATATCCTTAATAGGAAATGTCAAATTACTTGTAAATACTAACAATTTCTTCTATGTTGATCAGCTTGCAATTTGCATCGAAAAAAAACGTGAAATGAATGAAGAGTTCCTAGACTGTATAGGAAGTGATGACAGTTCAGACGCTTCTGTTTCTATGGAGGTGATTGGCTAAGTTTTTCTGTATTTTGTGCATTTGTTGTTGTGTGCTGCCAGTATGTGTTTCATTAAATTAACAAAAACAACGGAAAAAAAATAATATAAAAATAACTTATAAGGAGTAGGAGTTCCAAAATTCTTCAATAAACCCAGTAGAATTTCCTAACTCCTGCAGCGCCAGTGTTGTTGGCTTGAAACATTTCTTTGAATAAATTCTCAGGAACACCGTAAGGTTGACAAGAGAAGAAATGCATCCTCAGAAGCAGATCTGCAGAGGAAACGTGACAGGTGAACTTAGCAAGTGAGAGCTCTTAAGTTCTCGTTGTTATTAGATAGATGAAACCCTAATTGCCTAATATTACAAATACTTGTTCTCTTTCTTCTTTTCTTTCGTTTTCCATTTTAAATGATGATAGCTCTTGATTGATGTTAAATCTCATAGAGAGGAAATTTTGACTAAGGGTGTCTAAATCCCTTTTACTTGGATGCAGCTCAATTGCAGAAGATACATCTAATCGACTCAGATTTGAGAGGAAAACTGAACGCACAAATTCTGTGAACCAAAGCCCAACAGATGCCATCAGAAGAGGTTCAGCCGGACCAGTGGGGACCATGATGCTCCTGAAGTCACGTCAGCAACTCCATGCCCCATTTACCCAGGTTAGTATTCGACTTGACCTCGGCTGTTTCGTTTCTTATCGGTAACAATCTCATATTTCATGAGTTATGACGACAGGATCCACCTCTTATGACTGAAGACATGCATGAAGAAAGACTCCAGGCTGTTGAGGCGTTTGGTGATTCCCTTGTAAGCTTAACATCTTTTCCAGTAGAAGTGAATATGGTTTGGTTTTCTACAAAAAAAAAGTTTCTATAAACATAATGTTTCATAACAAATGTGTAGATGCATTACCTAGCTATATATGAATTTTTTTTCTATATGCTCTTGTGTTATACGTAGATCTTTAAAGAAAAAGAAAAAACATGATTGATTGCTTTTTTTGTTAAGTTCATTTTGTTGTTTGTCTAATAAAGAACACATCTTTTGTACTTGAATTTCAGAACGTTCCTGGCCAGTTGGAGAAAGACATCTTATTATCTGGTGAGGTTTAAAATTCTGTCTCTGTTGAATATAACGGAGAAGAACTGTTCATTAAATTTCTCTGTTATCTAATTCTAAGTTTGAGTAGAATGGAAGAGAAGGATAGGTGCTTATAGTTTTGTAAACCTATCATCCATACATCCCTTGCTTCTTATTTTCCTGATTTTCCAAAGGTGATTGCAGACATGTCAGCATTCAAAGCGGCAAACCCAGATGCAGTGTTTGAGGACTTTATCAGATGGCATTCACCTGGAGATTGGGAGAGCTTTGAACCTAAAACCACTGAACCGTCAGCAGGCCCCAGAACCGAAGGCTCTAAAGATGAATGGCCTCCTCGTGGCCGCCTTTCTCAACGGATGTCTGATCAAGGAAACTTGTGGAGAAAAAGTTGGAATGATGCGCCCGCTTTGCCAGCCGATGATCAAAAGCCTCTCCTAGACCCAAACCGAGAGGGAGAGAAGGTCTGTGTCTCATCCATGCTCATAACCTCTTGCGAGAGTTAGGTTTGACCTCAATGTCTTGAAAAATTTCTCAGATTGTTCATTACCTGGAAACAGTACGACCACATCAGCTTCTTGAGCAAATGGTCTGCACTGCCTTCAGAGGATCAGCCGACACTCTTAACCAGACAAACTTCGGGAACATGAGACAAATGACCTCTAAATTGGAGCAACTCTACCTCATCATCAAATCTACTTTGGGGGCTCTACAACGTAATACTTTTGTTTCTCCTTAATTATACCCTTTGAACCATTTTCTCCTTCCGTCCCTCTTGTTAATATATAACAGATATTTGGATGCAGGCAACAATCTTCCGGATAAAGCAAAGACCGTCAAAGACCTGAAACGTCTCTGCATGGTCTTTGAAAGCGTGGAGAAGTTGGTAGCGGTTGCGGCATCGATTCACAGAAAGTTCCTGGACGCATCACGCCTTGCTCAAGTAATATTCAGCGACTTCTACGGCATTTATGCTCCAACAATGGGAATGAGCACAAATGATGAAGAGAACAAAAGCAGAACGGTGAGTCGTCGTTAAAACCAACAAGAATTTCTCTGATTGGAATGTAATAATTGGCTAATGTAACGTAACATGTCTGATCATTTGAAACGCAGGAGATGGAAGTAAGTAGACAGGAAGTGAGTTTGAGAGAGAGACAAGTGGTGTCGAATCTGTTCTCGCCTCCATCGGCGAACCAGTCATGGAGAAAAGTGCTGAGTATGGGAAATCTTCTAAATGGACACGAACCCATTCTCAGGGAAATCATTTTCTCCACTGGAGACGATGTCAACAACGGAATCCATTACGCAGCAGCTGCTGATGTGGCGGCCACAAGTGACCGGATGGGAGAAGAAATCGAGACACACCGAATGTATGTGTCTGGAACATCTAACGATCTCCGGGTGGGGCTCTCTGTTACTTCTTGCGATTGATTCTTTTCATTTTTAATTTAACATTACGATATAACACATTTGTTCTCTAATAGAAAATTAGCAAATGAAGTTCTGCTTGAACAAGTTTCTAAGCGTAAATTTTTGCATTAATAGACAACGATCGATTTGCGAATCTGTGTGTTTTTCTTGAAACAAAGTCCCAAAGACTGAGAAGTATGTTTTATTTTTGCATTATCTAAAGATTCAATTAGATATATGGGCACAGAGAAGTCGGGACGACGTAAATGCAATGAGATCTCTCATTTCTGACGTCATAATTAAGACGAATCACGCAACCAAATTTTTAAAAGACGAAAAGAAGATTAGTTTTGTTACTTTTGCATTATAAAGGGTAACCATGTGATGATGCTATCTTTCTAGAAGCATTAGATTGAGTGGTCATTAAGATTATTTGTGCAAAAGAAAAAAGATAATGTATTTTATTAAGCTATACAGACAAACTGATCTACATTTGTATAGCTTAAGATGAGATCTTATTATATGTTGTACTTGTACACCGTTGTGAGAGTATGATTATGTTGTAGGTCCAAATAAGATTTAGAAGAAAACAAATCATCTGATGCGACGATGGTGAATTATGTAAATTTTTATTAGATTGATGATATATATACTATTGTTGTTATTGGTAGAGATGACGTTCTTATTATCTTGTTTCTAAATTTGATGATTGGATTGGATGTATATATAAGAAAATGATGAAGAATTAAGAGTTTTGTGCTATAGATTTTAATTAAATAGTTGCCATGACATGATCCTGCTACATACAAATAATTGTTTTCTCCATCCTAAGTTATACATATAAAAATAGGAGCTGGTGTGGGACTAAAGTGAAAAGGTGTGACAGTATAGGTATGAGACTAAGCACTAAACATTATAAAGAATGTTAAGTAAATGGCGATCGATTGAGTGATGAAATTGCGTGGATTAGATTATTAGAAATCAATGGCCAACACCTTTCTTCATTGATTCTTGACCCACTACCAACTCCTCACTATTTCTTTTCTCTTTTTCATTTTTCTATTTTATCAATTCCATCGCAATAAGTATATATATATTTGAAAAACTTGCATATATATTACCAAACCATATGGCGATTCCATGATTTCCTCAAATTGTGGACCTAATTGTACCATTTTATTCTTATCGCAACAATCATATAGAATGTTTAGTTGAAAGACTGATAGATATAAACTGAGAATTTAGCTTGCATAATCTTTGAGTCTCTCTATATGGTAGTTGGTGGTTCATTTATCATGAGTTTAATTGTTAAATAATTTAATAAGTGTGAATATTGATACTCTTTTTAGATTAAGACACAACGAAAACGATAAATCATTAAAGAAAATAAATAAACAAGAAATTATATTCGCCGTCAATAGAGCACTAATAAAGGAGCTTGTACATTTAACTAGACTCTTTGGTATAATCTTCGATGAGTGAACATGACAAAGAAATTAACGAGTTTCCATGAAACTGAAAGGGACAAAGTTGCATTTCCTATAATGGAATAAATATTGGACCGACGATCCATTGATATGATTTGATGTATCAACAAGAGATATATAAAGTTATGTACGTATAAATGATTAAATCCAATGAATCGCGGGATATATAAATTATACTATGTAGCTTTTGAATGATAATCACCTTAACGTCGTTAACTTGATGACTTCCCTTAATCATAATACTACTACTATACACTTCATGAAAAATATGTCCTTAACGCCGTTACTACTATTTCTGGATTCAAATATAAAATAGATGTGATTCTTTACTTAACAAAACGACCCAAAACAAAAAAAAAAACAAAAACAAAATCATTTAAAGCAATCAAAGTGAAAGCTAGTCTAATCAGAAATTAGTTGTATCTCGTTTTCCATTTTCTCTTATTTATTTTCTTGTTTCCCAGGTAAATAAATATTATGATGGGACGTAAAAAAAGTGAGAAACTACAATATGAATAATCAAATCCAACTTGTAGCTTCTGACGTGTGAGTTGTGACTGAACATAAACTCTTCCTCTCTCTCTCTCCTCTCTTTCAGGCACACGATCCATCCACACACACACAAAGACTTATAATAAAATCAAGAACCCTAATATCTAAAGAACGTCAGGATCAAACATGGAGGGAGAAACCGCAGCCAAAGCAGCGGCTAGTTCCTCCTCATCCCCAAGCCGGTACGAGTCACAAAAGAGGCGAGACTGGAACACTTTCCTTCAGTATCTAAGGAACCACAAGCCACCTCTGAATCTGTCTCGTTGTAGTGGCGCACACGTCCTTGAGTTCCTTAAGTACCTCGACCAGTTTGGTAAGACCAAAGTCCATGCCACGGCTTGTCCCTTCTTCGGACAACCTAACCCACCGTCTCAGTGCACTTGCCCTCTCAAGCAAGCTTGGGGAAGCCTCGACGCTCTCATTGGCCGTCTTAGGGCTGCTTTCGAGGAAATCGGCGGTGGTCTTCCTGAGTCAAACCCTTTCGCTGCCAAAGCTGTTAGGATCTATCTTAAGGAGGTCCGTCAAACTCAGGCTAAGGCTCGAGGGATTCCTTACGACAAGAAGAAACGGAAACGACCTCATACAGCCACAGCAACTCCAATCGCCGGTGATGGAGACGACGCCGGAGGAAGTGGTGCTGCTTTGGTCGTAACCACTGCAACTACGGTATAATCGAGAATATCGAGATACGCGACGCTAAGATCTTAAAAGAATTACGGTATAGTAATTCTTGAGTTCTTTACTTTCTAAAATTCGTATTTATAGATTATATATTTCGTGTAATTAATTATTCGAGATGTAAATTGCAATTTATATAGATGGAAAAGACGATCACCGATTATTAGTAAGATGAGATCTTAATATATTTAAAATCTTCCATTCATTTATTTTTCACCGTGATTGATATATAGATACATCAGTAATATATAGCATCACCAACGGTGAATCTCTAAAAATCAGATTCTTATATTTGATTTAATGATATTTTAATGCAATAATATTATCTAATTAAAATTTATTTTTTCTCAAAAGTATAAACCAATCAGATAATGACAAGTCAGTTGAGAAGTTTCTCAACTGTTTCTCACGGACTCTCTCTAAAGAAACTATCTCTCTATGAGACTCTCTTTTTCTTCACTGTTTTCTTTTTTTCAATTTTTTAATTCCTGAGAAACCCATCTATAACCCTCCATTGGGGCTGCTCTATAACCCTCTTTTTTTAATGGTGATGTGTGGATGTGCCAAGTCTCGGGTCTCACGTGAGTCGTGATTTCTCTGAAAAGTCATAAATCTTCAGGTGCTTTCTTTTAAAAGCTTTAGGAATGATGATCAACATCGAAAGAAAAAGAAAAAAAAACGATGATGATCATCTTCTTACTTTCACTTTATTTCATGTTCTTCTTTACATATTCAACCACTCAATTAGCTCCCTTCGATTGTTTCGATTTAGAATACTTTTTATACATTTGGTAGGCGTAGAAATGGGGACTATTTTTTTTTGTTTTTGTTTTTGCATTTACATGAGTGAAAAAGATTAGTGATATGAACTTACAAATAGAAACAAACTAACAAAAGAGGAATAATGGTACAAGCTCAAGAATTCATTTATCTTAGAAATAGCAATAACAACAAATAATAGTGGGTGGTCTTGATTAATCATACAAGTGCAAATTTGAAAAGGACTAGTGACCAACCAAGCATTAATTCTCTTGGTAACCAATAGTCCAATACATATATCTTCATCATTTCATGAAATCTGAAACTCAAAGGCAAAGCACTTCTTAACAATAAGAAACAGCTAGCTAATTAACAAAGGCTGGTAGAAATGATTACATGATCTTCAAATCCAGTGATACTGCTTTGGAACTTGCAAATTAGTAAGATGGTAGGCTGAAATCTTAACCATGCTGAAATTTTAATCATTTATTTGCAAAAGAAAGAGACTGATTTTGAAAATTCTTATAGTTGATAATTGATCATAACAGAAAATAAAACTTAAATATATTTTTGTTATTAAGAAAACTATAGAAATTTTATTTTAAATTCAACAAACATTATAAAATAAAAAACAATGCTATTTTTTTCAAAAAAATGCTAAAATTATCCTGGGAGGTAATTAAAGCAAATCATAAATGAGTAAGACATAAACGTGTGTATAAAAGGAAAATGGTAAAAGAAAACAAAATAGGATCGTCAACAGCAGGATTCGAACCTGCGCAGGCAAAGCCCAACAGATTTCGAGTCTGTCTCCTTAACCACTCGGACATATTGACATTTCGATACAAATATCACACTAAATTAAGATAGCCGCAAAATAAAACACCTAAAACACAAAATGACAGAAACATTAAGCACTCTCATATTTAAGAATCTTAGAGAGATTATCTATATTATTCACATTTCACACCATGATAAAAATTAGTTGGATGTCCATAACATAGGCTAGCTTATTTTTTACAAAAGCGTAAATCGTATATCATATGAAATGATTCTGGTTGCCTCCGTAAATTTTGTTCATTGCTAAAGTAAGCAGATAATTTAAGAGATAAATCCTTTGCTTTTAAGACTCTCCACACCTTCCTTGATGATGTCCTCCATGGAACTGAACTCTAACCCCAATTCCATCAGCTTCTTGGCTGCATTCTTAGCTCGAAGTAATCCTAGTTGAGTCTCTCTCGGTAACCTAAGAGATTTTTTCAATTCAAGTTATTAAAATCTCTCCCTCTCTCTCTCTCTCTCTCTCTCTATATATATATATATATATATATATATATATATATATATATATATATATATTTATGATGTGTTTGATAAGAGAGTTTGTGTCTTACTTGGGGACACTGTAATTGGGATAGAGCTCAGCAACTTTGGCTACAAAATCACCGTAGTGAGAGATGGCCTCGACGCACAGATGCCTTCCTTTCGCAGATGGATTCTCGTAGACAAGAATATGAGCTAAGGCCACATCCTTGAAATGCACAGACCCCATGAAGAAGTTCTCGTATGTCTCCGTGCACCCTAAGCATTCACGTCTAAGCAAATTCTAAGATGTTCCAAAGAGCTTAAGACAAATTCAATCAGCATTCATAGAGAAGAATATACCCTGAAGAAGGCGTAGAAGCATGAGCATGCTAGCGTTTATAGATGGCGGAATCACAGGCCCCATGACGGTGCCTGGATTCACCACAACCACATCCAATCCCTTCTGCTCTGCAAATTCCCAAGCTGCCTTCTCAGCAAGAGTCTTCGACAGTGGATACCATAACTACCAACAACACAAGAATCACACATCATCTATAAGAAGATAATCAAGAAGATGTTTGTAGTAAATCTTAAATTAAAGAATACATACTCCATTTTGCTTGCAGTAGTCTTGATCAGCCCAACATTCCTCATTCTTGATCTTATCGGCTGGCCAGTTGGGACTTGGAGTTATGGCAGATATCGAAGACGTCACAACAACCCTCTTAACACCGGCTTCTTTCGCCGCAGTCAGTACATTTATGGTCCCTTTAACCGCAGGGTCAAGTAGTTGCTTCTGTGAACACATATGAAGTGATCAAATTCACTATTGGTCCTTTTAAAAGCTAAGATTTTGGGAGTGGATATAAGAACCTGGGGATCTTGGACTTCATCGACGATACAGGGCGATGCGAGGTGGAATACGCCGGAGCATCCATTGACGGCGGCGGAAACGGTGTCGTATTGTAGGAGATCCATCTCGAAAAGATGGAGGCGTGTGGCAGCACCTTCAAGAGCTTCTAGATGTTTCGTTTCTTTCTCATCCTCTGCAACACAGATTTGATATATGTAAGGCAATTAGGAGGAGATATGGTAACCGGAGGCGTAATCGAATAGAGGAATTTGTAAAGATTACGGAGGTTTTTCACGGTGGCGTGGACGGAGTAGCCGCGATGGAGGAGCAGATGGACCAGCCACGAGCCGATGCAGCCACTGGCGCCGGTGACACAGACTACTTCTCGTTCCGTCGACATTGATGATTGATCAATTAGAGCTCTGTCTCTCTCTCTAAGTTTCAAAAAAATTCTATTTCAGACAAACACTACTACACTCTCTCTCTGTGTGGCTGTCTGAAACTCGAGATGATCCCACGTGGCCAAAATGGAATCAGGCAGAGATGATTCGTTTATGCGTGATGATGGATGTGAAGCCCAAATAGTAAGATAAAGCCCAATTTTAAACACCATGTCGTCTTTGGCAGACAGATAACAGTGGGATGCTGAGTCGTGAAACGGCACGCAGTCTTTTATTTTTAACATTGAATTTTTCGGTCCGACATTATCGTGGAACGAGAAGATTCACTGGATTTGATGGCTCGTCGGCTGTTTCTCCTCCTCCTCGCCGTGACGGTGGAGTTGAGCTTGTCGGGAACAATCGTCGTAGCATTCGGCGTAAACTGGGGGACGGAGGCGTCGCACCCTCTTCCTCCTTCAAAGGTTGTAGAGCTTCTGAAATCCAACGGCATTGCCAAAGTGAAGCTCTTCGATGCCGACCCAAAAGTTCTCCGAGCTCTCTCTGGTTCTAATATCGGGGTCACTGTCGGAATCCAAAATTCGATGCTCAAGAGCTTGAATGCATCCGTAAAGGTAGCAGAGAGCTGGGTCCATGACAATGTCACTCGTTACTTCAACGGCGGAAACAGAGTTCGAATCGAGTATCTTCTTTCTCCTTCTCTTCCGTTTATCTAGATTCTAGATTTGAAGCTGGAAGTTTCCTCTTTAGATCAATTTCTTGTTTTGTAGTGTTTTTCCCACGATTAGGCTTTGTATCTTGTGGGTTTTGTCAAAGTTAGTATCTTTCAGTTTCACAGAGAATTTACAAGCAGCTGCATAAAAGTGGAATGAGATTTCCTCACAATGTTTTGAAACTTACATTGAGAAACACATTATTTTCAATGGCAATCTTGGTGCATGTGTTTTTAACTTATAGAATTTGATGAGTCGGATTGTTTCAATGCCAAATTGTCAATCTTCTTATTGTGAACTATATCATTAGAGAAAAGAATTGTTTCTCACTTGAATTGATTTTCAGGTACGTAGCAGTTGGAGATGAGCCATTTCTCCAGAGCTATGGCAATCAGTATAGGCCTTTTGTCATTGGAGCAGCTATGAACATCCAAAATGCTTTAGCAAAGGCGAGCTTGGCAAATGTCGTCAAGGTTGTAGTCCCCTCAAGCTTTGACTCCTTTCTTTCTGAATCCGGTCGACCTTCATCAGGACACTTTAGGGCTGACCTCAACAAGACGATGATCGAACTCCTCTCCTTTCTCACAAAGCATCACTCTCCTTTTTTTGTCACAATATCTCCTTTCCTAAGCTTTCACCAGAACAAGAACATCTCTCTCGACTTTAGCCTCTTCAAACAAACAGCACAGGCTCACAAAGATGGGCGTAAAACCTACAGAAACAGCTTTGATCTGAGCTACGACATACTTGTCTCTGCATTGTCCACAATTGGGTTCTCAGAGGTGGATATCGTTGTGTCAAAGATCGGTTGGCCTACAGATGGAGCAGCAAATGCCACATCACCGACTGCTGAGACGTTCTTCAAAGGACTGATGGGTCACTTGGAGAAAAAGACGGGTTCTCTCCCGCGCCCTCCCGTTGAAACCTACATTGAAAGCCTGTTGGACGAAGATCAGAGAAACTTATCTTCTGGGAACTTTGAGAGGCACTGGGGAGTGTTCACATTCGATGGTCAAGCCAAATACAATTTCAATTTCAGCCATAACCCGAAGAAAGTGGGAAACGCGCAGAATGTTCAGTACCTTCCTCCTAAGTGGTGTGTGGTGAACAATAACAAGGACTTGTCAAACGCGTCAGCAAGAGCATTAGAAGCTTGTGCTGTCGCGGACTGCACATCGATACTTCCTGGCGGGTCGTGTTCCGGCATCAGATGGCCAGGCAACGTGTCATACGCGTTCAATAGCTTGTATCAGCAAAATGATCACAGTGCAGAAAGCTGCAACTTTGGTGGACTTGGTTTGATCACTACCGTTGATCCTTCTGAGGATAATTGCAGGTTCTCGATTCAACTTGACACTTCTCATTCAGCTTCGCAAATTCCTACTTTCTTTCAGAGGTGGCCTCTCCTCATTGTTCCTACTGTCTGGACTCTTTTAAAGTTGTAGTTATAGCAAAATTTTGGTGGATTTTGCCTCTAATTTCTCTCAAATTTGAAACTGTTATTGGGCTACGTAAAAAAAAAACTGCTATTGGGCTGGGCCTTCGATAAGGTTGGATGATTATGGGCCTTTAGAACCACGTCGTCTTATGATAAAAAAAGCAAGTCCAGTTATTTTGGGAAACCGGTCGGTAAAAGATAAAGATGTAAGAATTTAATATTTAAGATAAATGCAATAAAAAGGAAAGTCCACTAATTTATGAGAAAAATATAAATACAGCGAGATTTTTATTTAACGTCTAAAAAAGGGTCTCACACAATTCGTTAAGAAGTTTTGGGTCTGTTTTATCGCAAACCCTAGGTCATGGCTGGGATGTACAATCAAGACGGCGGCGGAGGTGCGCCTATCCCGTCGTACGGTGGTGATGGTTACGGCGGAGGTGGAGGTTATGGAGGTGGTGATGCTGGATATGGAGGGCGTGGTGTCTCTGGCGGTGGCGGTTACGGCGGACGCGGTGGTTATGGCGGTGGCGGTGGTAGTGGTAGAGGAAATCGAGGTTTGTGTTATAGATTGTTCCAGATCTGATTAATATACCCTTACGATTCTTTAGATTTCTCCATTCCTTGCTTATCTGCTTTTGTTAAATCTTTATTTTCTAACTATTTCGATGATTCGATCTGATTCAGGTGGTGGCGGTGGTGGATATCAAGGAGGTGATCGCGGTGGAAGAGGAAGTGGTGGCGGCGGCAGAGATGGAGATTGGCGTTGTCCCAACCCTAGGTAATGATTGCATATTATTTAGTGCATATGTAATGAAATTTGATTAGCTCTCGGGAATTATGTTTTGAAGTTGTTTACTCTCGAAACTGTTTGTATAGTTGTGGGAACGTGAACTTTGCAAGGAGAGTTGAATGTAACAAGTGTGGTGCACCTGCTCCTTCTGGTACTGGTGCTGGTTCTGGTGCTGGAGATCGTGGCAGTAGTGGATATAGCCGAGGTGGAGGTGCCAGTGATCGTGGGGGTGGTCGTGGAGGTAGAAACGATAGTGGTAGGAGCTATGAGAGTAGTAGATATGATGGTGGAAGTAGGAGTGGTGGTAGCTATGGTAGTGGTAGTCAACAGAGGGAAAATGGTTCCTATGGTCAGGCTCCTCCTCCTGCAGCTATTCCATCCTACGATGGTTCTGGAAGTTATCCTCCACCCTCTGGTTATGGAATGGAAGCTGTGCCCCCGCCTCCAAGCTATTCTGGTGGCCCCCCGTCATATGGTGCTCCAAGAGGAGGTTATGGCGGTGATGCACCAAGCACTGGTGGTCGGGGTAGTAGGGGTGGCGGCTATGATGGGGGTAGTGCTCCTCGACGGCAGGAAGCTAGTTATGAAGATGTAGGCACTGAAGTCAAGCAGTGCGATGCGGAATGTGATGATACTTGTGATAATGCTAGAATATACATCTCTAATTTACCTCTGGATGTGACTACTGATGAACTCAAGGATCTCTTTGGTGGCATTGGCCAAGTAATAACACTGGTCTTTTACTTCTGTTGTTTTTTTACATCTTGGGATAAGCTTTTGCGTTGCCATAAATTCTTGTTAATGTACATGTTTATTGGCGTGCTGATTGGGTGTGTATTTCCTGTTGGATCTATTATAGGTTGGAAGAATTAAGCAAAAGCGGGGTTACAAAGATCAGTGGCCCTATAATATTAAGATTTACACTGATGAGAAGGGTAACAATAAAGGTGACGCCTGTCTGGCCTATGAAGATCCTAGCGCTGCACACTCTGCAGGCGGCTTTTTCAACAGTATGTACTATGGAATTGCTGTTTAGCTTTCAAATTGTTTAAAAGTTCTGTTTGGTGAATGGTGGTTGATTGTTTTGTAGATTACGAAATGAGGGGGAACAAAATTAGTGTAACGATGGCAGCGAAGTCTGCGCCCCGTGCTCCTACCTTTGACCAGAGGTAGATCTTTTATCAGCACTTTACATTTTTTTGTTACCATTTAGCTGTCACCACTACTCCACCTTATAGGTTTCTACTCTAGTTATTTTAGGCTTTTAGCTGTATAATTTTGATGAGGGAATGAGTTTTTGGTATGCTAAGTTTGTAGAGACTGTATGGGACTTGTTTCCTACTTGGGATCTGCTTTGTACACTCATCTATGACATAAAGGGTAGGGAAGTTTGTTATGTCATGAAATTATGCCTTAGGTCTATGTTCATGCCATAGGAATTAAATCTATGTAGTTAAACATATCTTCTAACATTTAGCTGTGGTTTCTTTTGATTGTGAAGAGTAAAGTTTTTGTCCATGTTTCTTATAAGCTCCTAGTAATTCCCCATAGAAGTTGCATTATTAGCTGGTTTTTCGTGCTTTTTTGATGACTCGCCTTTGTTATGTTTGAGACACTTCATCTTCAGTAGTAAGCTGGTTTTAATTAGATGGTCTTTGTCTGATGTAATAATGTGGTCTTTGTTGTGAATGGCGCAGAGGCGGTGGTAGAGGAGGAGGAGGAGGAGGAGGGGGTGGCTATGGTGGTGGTGGGGGAGACAGAAGAAGAGATAACTATGGTTCAGGGCCAGACAGAAACCATCATGGGGGAAACCGGTCTCGTCCATATTGAGAGAAAGAGAGGAATCAGTGAATCAGCTATTATGTGTTCTAAGAGTTTTGTGTGTTGAGGGGGGAATTTTAGTAAAATGTTCTATGAGTCATCATATTGGAGATACAAAAAAAAAAGGTAGGTTTTTGTTCACTTTGACCTTGAGCAAAATTACCCCTTTTTTTCTCCCTACTTGTTCTGTTTCTTTGGGGATCTATTATTTATGCATCTGCGGTTTATCCTTCTTTTAGTTTGTTTTTTCACAATGTGAAATGTTTGTTTTTGTTTTTTTATTGAAGGAAGCTGACATTTAACTGCAAAATGCATTACAAATTGGTGCTATGATGATTTCAGGTGAGTGCATTCATCTTGATTACTTCTTTCTGCTGAACCAGAAGTCCCTTTATTGCTTCTCTTCTTCTTATTTTTTGACTCTGTTCAAGACAAACAAAACCAGTCATATGTTTCCATGTTGTATTGTGTATGCATTCATTTAGGCAAACTCACTTCCCTTCACAATTATCGGAGTTAGTATCTTTTTTTTTTTTTTTTCTCTCAAACTTCCTTTTAAAGCAGCATATGTTCCACAAGAAATGGCAGGAGTGGGGGATGGCTAGGCACTCGTCTGATCAGTTGTTCTGAAGTCTGCAGTGACATTTCAAAGATTAACTTGATTGCCAACATACTCGCTGAGGCTTTTAGTTAGGTTCTCATGAGTGGCCTTTTTTTTGGATAAAAGACAAGGTGATCATCGTTCAATCTAGATCCCAAAGACTAAAGAGAATGTGTCTCGTAAAAGTCTAGATGTGTTTGCGACCAATGATTTTTGGTTGTGCCGTTGAGGGTGTTCCCTGTAATGAAATTTTATGTCTTCATTCATGTAAAAAAAGAAAAAACCAAGCCATTTTTGGATGTTTCCGTGTACAGAAACTTCCAAATGCAAGTCTAATACATCAACAGAAATGATTGATGCCAAAAATCCCAAAAACATTTTATTGAATGGTTGTATGTAGAAAATGTGGAGAGACGAGAAAAAGAATCCTGGAAATTTGGAATCCTCTAGCATTGGTCTTCAAGATGCCCCTTTTCAATACGACATAGATCTATCTTCTAACATTGCATCTTCTAACATTGCATATTCACCAGTTCAATCGCTGGCTGGCTCCACTAGCACATGGCGATGCTACTTATTTACCATCTCTCACCCACACATATTGGGTACAAAATCGGATAATATACCTAAGAGTAGCAATGACTATAAGAATCAGCATAAACTTTACAACTTTTCAACTTGTAAGGCTTGTAGCAATGTAACTCTAAAACAAACTGCTTAGATGTGTAAAATCCAGATACGATTATATCAATCATGTGTGCTTAAGATCAAATTGACCATACCTGTGATTTTTTTCTCACTTTCGACACAACTTCTTTACGATTTGAACTCCATTTATAAGTCCCGTCTTATTATATAATAAAACTAAAGTGTAATACATACAAAGGACGTACTTACCCATTACCGTTTCTTGTATACACAAGTTGCTCAACGGAATGAAGTAGGATACACATATAAGCAAGAAGAAGCTATGGAACTCAGGATGGATAGCGCCAACAGATCTACATGCATGTATATACAAAACCTACAGTATTGGTGATTCATGGCGCTATCCCTCCTGAGCTTTATAGCTATTTTTCTACTATTCCAATCCATAGATATGCATCTTCCTCTACATATGTGTTTTGAATGTATGTTATATATATGTTGAAAAGTTAGGTACTTAAAGAGGAGCTTCACCTGGGATCACATTGCTGTATTTATAGTCTCAAGTGTCCCCAAACTACATATTTCGAAAATAGTGTACCAATTTTTATATATTCGGCACTTTTAATGCATTCCCATACCCACAATAAATGGATTTCTTTCTTTATTATTTACGTACATGCATTAAGATTTATGAATTGCCCTTTCAGTTAAAACTACATATAATAAACGTCGATTATAACTTATAACTTATAAGGTTAAGTGGACCATAGTACACTAAGTCGGACTATATGTCAATGATTTGCGTCTAAATATATAGTGTTGTGCGACTGCGTAAGATAGGATTTTATACGATACCGGGTTTTCGTAGCGAAAGTTTTGGTTTGCCTACGACGCAAACTCAGCAGGGCCACAAGTCTCGGCCTCTCCGGTTAGTGAAAATGTAAAAAAGTAAGTGTTGATGATCGATTAGTGACAATGTAGGAAGATAGAAAGATACATAAAATAATTGAGTATGTGGAAGAACGTAAAAAGCGGTGATGCATTCAATATTTGGCGTAGGTGGGATCTCCATTTCTCTTTTATGTCAAAATTTATTAGTACGTAGTGACTATTTTGTAATGTTATCATTTACAACTTACAAGATATAGATATATGTCCACAACAACAAAATTTCATGAAAATCTCTCCATTTCATTAAAGATGGGTTTCTAGTTTTTGCTTTTATTTCATGAATATTAATATTTATTTCTATGTATTCTACATTGATGTAAATGAAATGTGAACTACAAAAATATAAATGTAAGATACTTGAATTAATAAATAAATTCGTTGGTTTACAATTACAGCTATAGAGAAGTGTTTTAATGTGAAAAATGGTGAGTGTATGATTATTGTGAAAATTAAAAAAACTAAAAAGACATATATGAAATGTATTTTAATACGTAAGAAATTTTTTAAAACCAATCTTCAAGAAATATAAATCTTGTGTAAAACAAATAGAGAGAGTGGAAATAGATGCATGGGAGTTTGTGTTAGCCAGCTACCATCGCCGTACCTTGCACGTCCCGGCGGTCCCTTATGTTATTGCTTCTAAATTCATCCATCATTTTTTTTTATCGACTAAATAAAAATACTCATCCTATATAATGTAGAGCAACACATTTATTGCAAAGGAGTATAGCAAAATTTAAGGAATGAAGTGAGATTATAATTTTCCGACATATTTGACCTTACATGTGATTCTTAACACTGTAAAAACAATAATATGAAAGCTAGGAAATCGGTGGTCATATTCCCACATTTTTGTTTTAGTTTCTCATTTTTATCTATATCTCATAGTATAAACATACATACTTTTCATTTTATCAAAGTATGAATATATATATAAATAGGAGATATATTTTTGAATCATATTAGATAACAAATCTAATTTTAATCAAAGAGTATATATATACCTTTCTGTTAGAGAAAAAAAATGGTTCTTATAAGGTGTGTCACAAAACAAATCGTATAAGTTATATTTTTAATGAATTCTCTACTGATGAAAATATGCGTTTTTAAGAAGAGAGCGGCTATGGGTTACGCCGTAACTCATAACCGCTCTTGAGAAACAGTTTTTTTACAGTTACGCCGTAACTCATAACCGCTCTTGAGAAACAGTTTTTTTACAGTGACTGTTTCAGGCAGTAATCTCGATCCAAAATCGCCTAGTGTCCTTTCTTTTAAAAAGGTGAATGAGAAACAATTTTTCACGGTGACTGTTTCAGGCAGCAATCTCGATCCAAAATTGCCTTATTTGCAAACCTAATTTCGCCTGATGGCACACATAACGTGAGAAGTCTAATCGTTGTTTATACTAGCATCTTATGTTGCCACATCAATTTTACATCTTTCTACCATAATCATTACTACCGCCAATATATATATATATATATATATATTGGTTTAACTATCGTGAATATTAACTAGTATTGTTTGGTGTTGTTCTGTTTTATGTTGCTATGAACTTTTTTGTGAAAAGATGTTTCGTGAGTTCGTGTCTAGTATCTATGCTGTATAGGGATCCTAAGTATGTTAAGTGTTAACGTCAAAGAATATTTAAATGAGATAATTCAATTGTTTTTTTTCTCTAATGAACCTGATCACTGATGCGGACACCCTCTTCTTCAAATGGCCAATTTTCCAAAATTGTGTTAGAAGTTTTAGAAAGAGTACTAAAAATCCTTCGAAGGGAATTTAGATAATTATATTAAAATTGTGTTTATAACTCTTTTAATGTCTTATACTCAAGTTTGTATATTCCCAATTTATTTTTTATGAAATAATTATTTTTTCAAGTCGCCTTACAATAAAACCAGAGATATATTTCTCAAAGATGTAAAATACAATAGTATGATGCCGTTTTAGTCAACATATATACCATTATAAAAATATCATTAAGATACATGATGAATGGTATACCATTTGTTCACGTTAACATTTTTAAAACGTGTTTCTGCTATTTTTTTACCATTCGAAAGATTCATTACTTTTTCGCATTTTCATCTTTTGGAAAATGATTCCGCTATATACCATCTGCATGTTAAAAATATAACCAAAACAGACATAACACGTTTAATCTACTTAAGAGTTAACTTTCCAATGTTTTATATTTATTTTAAGAAAATTTTATCCATTTGAATTCGTTTGTTAACAGTTATTCTGTTATTTATCTGACATTACCAGTCAAACTCAAAGTAATACTACGTATTATTGTAATTACAGCAAGAATCAAGTTTTGGTCAATATACAACGATATATACCATTTGATACTATTATCTATTATCATCACTAAAATTTACTATAGTTGTTTATTTTTTTGGTGAATCTAAAATCTACTATAGTTGGTAATGGTTATTCTTATCGTGATTTACAAATAAAGAAACAGAATCAGAGGAATTTCATTAGAGGATTTTTTCCTTGATGGTTTAGGCATGAGTGTACTATTTATACATAAAACAAATTTGAAAGTTTATAGTAATTAACCTTTAAATCGTTTTGTAAGAAAGAGATGGCGAAAGGAGCAGATTTCTTTTGTCTCCTTGTCTTGTTTTTGAGTTCAGTCTCAGCAATCATAGATGATCCTCAATATAAACAAGTGAGTTCTCATAAGATTACCGAGTATATTAATCTCTATATAATAATTATCAATATATATTGCTTTTCCCTAGTAAACGATCCATCATAGCTAATGATAATCCTTGAAGGTGTATGTTGTCTACATGGGCTCACTTCCGTCTCAACTAGAATACACACCAATGTCGTATCATATGAGTATTCTTCAAGAAGTCACCGGAGAAAGGTGCGATTTAATTTATTCATTCTCTAACCATTGATTAGTTATAATAAGCTTACGTTATAATAACCATTGTGTGATATATACGTATGTACACTCTAGTTCGGTGGAAGGTCGTTTAGTGAGAAGTTACAAGAGGAGTTTCAACGGTTTCGCTGCCCGACTCACTGAGTCAGAACGAGAAAGAGTAGCCGGTTAGTGTTCTTTGATCGAGACATATTTTATGTTGAGATGTTTTTAAGGTTAAAATATTTGAAACCCTTTTGTGTTGTTACTTGTTAGAAATGGAGGGAGTTGTGTCTGTGTTTCCGAACATGAACTACAAACTCCAAACGACGGCGTCTTGGGATTTCTTGGGGTTGAAGGAAGGAAAGAATACAAAGCATAACTTAGCCATAGAGAGTGATATTATCATCGGCGTCATCGACTCTGGGATTTGGCCGGAATCCGATAGCTTTTCGGACAAAGGCTTTGGTCCTCCTCCTAAGAAATGGAAAGGTGTTTGTTCCGGCGGCAAAAACTTCACTTGCAACAAGTAATTCACTAAATTTCTCTAATATAAGATTAGTATTGTTTTAAGCAGAGATTGATGTGTTGACAATGTTTCAGCAAGTTGATCGGAGCAAGAGACTACACAAGCGAAGGTGCTAGGGACCTCCAAGGGCACGGTACTCACACAACGTCCACAGCTGCTGGAAACGCAGTTGAGAACACAAGTTTCTATGGAATCGGTAATGGAACGGCTAGAGGCGGTGTTCCAGCCTCTAGAATCGCAGCTTACAAAGTCTGCTCAGAGACAGATTGTACCGCGGCATCTCTACTGTCTGCCTTTGATGATGCGATAGCAGACGGTGTTGAGCTCATCAGCATCTCTCTCTCGGGAGGCTATCCCCAGAAGTACGAAAAGGACGCGATGGCGATTGGGGCTTTTCATGCTAATGTCAAGGGGATTCTTACTGTGAACGCAGCCGGTAATTCTGGTCCGTTTGCGGCCTCAATCGAGAGCGTAGCGCCGTGGATGTTATCGGTTGCAGCCAGCACCACGAACCGTGGGTTTTTCACCAAAGTTGTTTTGGGAAACGGTAAGACACTTGTCGTAAGTATTCAAGTAACACTCTTATTTCTTGTCATCATTGTAGCTCTGTCCCTGAAAATATCCTTTTGTCTTGACAGGGAAGACCAGTGAATGCTTTTGATCTGAAAGGAAAGAAGTATCCTCTTGTCTACGGAGATACTTTCAACGAATCTCTTGTGCAAGGAAAGATCTTGGTTTCCGCATTCCCAACTAGTTCAGAAGTAGCTGTTGGATCCATACTTAGAGACGAATTTCAATACTATGCTTTCATTAGCTCCAAGCCCTTCTCTCTTCTACCACGAGAAGAATTTGACTCTCTCGTCTCTTACATTAACTCCACAAGGTAGCTAACGGTCTTCTCGCTAAAATCTCTATATTCTCCTTCTTTGTCCTGATACTCTGTGCTTGTTTTCTCAGGTCCCCGCAAGGGTCTTTTCTTAAAACTGAGGCATTCTTTAATCAGACAGCTCCTACAGTTGCTTCCTTCTCTTCTCGCGGTCCAAACACTATTGCAGTTGATATTCTTAAGGTATAATATTTTTTATGCTCTTGATTCTGTTTTTTTTTTTCTTTCCTGGCCTGAGAGACAATGGTTGGTGGATGGATTGCAGCCAGATGTATCAGCACCAGGAGTGGAGATTCTCGCTGCGTATTCACCTTTGAGTTCACCATCTGACGACAGGATCGATAGAAGACATGTAAAGTACTCTGTTCTGTCAGGAACTTCGATGGCTTGTCCACACGTTGCAGGCGTACTTTTCATCCTGAATGGTCTCCTTCCGTGATCCAATCTGCCATCATGACAACCGGTAGACAAAACTCATAATCAACCTTTTACTTTTTTGTCCCGCTAGTAACCTCTGTTTTAAACTCTGTTCTTATAAAGTCTCTTTATTAATCGTTGCAGCTCGGCCAATGAATCCTAATACACCTGGCTTCGCATCAACCGAGTTTGCTTATGGAGCTGGACATGTCGACCCAATAGCCGCTATTAATCCTGGACTCGTCTATGAATTAGACAAAACAGACCACATCGCCTTTCTTTGCGGTTTGAACTACACTTCGAAAACCCTTCAGCTCATCGCCTGTGAAGCCGTCGTCACTTGCCGTGGAAAGACCTTACCAAGAAACCTCAACCGTCCTTCAATGTCAGCTAAAATTAATGGATATAATAGCTCCTACACCGTGACTTTCAAAAGAACCGTCACCAATCTCGGTACCCCCAACTCTACGTACAAATCAAAGATCGTCTTAGATCTCGGAGCTAAACTCAGTGTCAAGGTCTGGCCTAGTGTTCTTTCTTTTAAAAGGGTGAACGAGAAACAGTCTTTCACAGTAACTGTTTCAGGTAACAATCTCAAATTAAATCTACCTTCATCTGCAAATCTAATCTGGTCTGATGGAACACATAACGTGAGAAGTGTCATTGTTGTCTACATAACGTGAGGCATTATCAGTTCACCATAGTCATCATTATCATAATATTGTCGCCGATGTGTTTCTTTATTCTACATTTGTGTTTCTATCTTTTCTGATGATTGGTTTTTGTGTTTCTTAGTTCACAGTTTCAGAGCTTTGCTTTTATTCGAACTAAATTCATCCACATATCCTAAAATAAATAAATTAATTGATTAATTTAAGCTTTCTGTATCTAAGAGCATGTACATGGGTGATACCCATATAGTATCATTAGGAATTTTTTAGTATTATTTATAATGTTTGTTTATTATTTGAGATTCTTTATGATACTCCTAGTAAATATGTTTGCATTGGTGATACCGGTTTAAGTATCATAAAAAAAAAAAATTTACAAAATCAAAAATTAATATATTAAAACATAAGATTACAAAAGGTAATATTACAAGAAAAAAAAAAGTAGAATATACTTAAGCAAAATAAAACATAAAATTCAAAAAAAACTGAAAAAACATGATGAAAATAATAATTTAGTCGGTTGTAGTCAATTACCTTGGCCCCATTTTTGCCAAATATGTTCAATCAAATCTTCTTTCAATTGTCGATGTGTTTGTTCATGACGTATTTGAGCTCGATTGGCCATCAAATTGTTCACATTTGTAGCTGTCTCTGTAGAAAAAGAGTTGTCTACTTGAGAAGTCCCGCTTCCTTCGCCTTCTACGAAATCAGATAAATCGAACTGAGTATTTTCGTCTCGTTCATCTTCTACAATCATATTGTGCAATATGATACATGCTCTCATTATCTTGCCCATTCGCTCTTTATCCCAAAACAGACCTGGGTTTCGAATAATAGCAAACCGAGCCTGCAAGACTCCAAAAGCACGCTCGACATCTTTTCTCACTGCTTCTTGACAACTAGCAAATAATGATGCTTTCGGTCCTTGTGGGCGGGTAATTGATTGGATGAATGTTGCCCACTTCGGATATATACCATCTGTGAGGTAATAACCCATTTTGTATTGATGTCCATTGACTTCGTACCTGAGTTGTGGAGCTCGACCTTCTAATATATCATCAAACACCGGTGAGCGGTCAAGAACATTTATATCATTACACGTACCTGGAGCCCCAAAAAAAGCATGCCAAATCCATAAATCTTGTGATGCCACGGCCTCTAAAACAATAGTGGGTTTTCCATGTCCGCGTGAATACTGTCCTTTCCAAGCCGTAGGACAATTCTTCCACTCCCAATGCATACAGTCAATGCTTCCTACCATTCCCGGAAATCCGCGTTCCTTTCCAGAATGAAGTAACCGTTCTAGATCCTCACGTGTAGGCCGCCTCAAATATTCGTCTTGGAATAAATTTATTATGCCATCTACAAAATTCTCTAGTGCTTGGCTCACAGTGGTTGCGCCCATGCGGAGGTATTCGTCCATCGCATCGTTTGCAAGACCATATGCCAGACGCCTAATTGCGGCAGTACATTTCTGTAGGGCAGATAGTCCTTGCTTCCCAGTAGCATCGTCCCTTTGTTGGAAATATGGAAATTGAGAAAGACTTTGAACAATACGAACGAACAACGGCTTGGTCATTCGAAATCGCCGTCGGAACATGCGATCATGGTAAACGGGGTCATCCGAAAAGTAATCGTTCCATAATCGAATATTTCCTTCTTCCCGATCTCTCTCTATATTAGCAGCCCTTTTTTTCTTTTTTTTTCCCGCTATACGTCTACTGTAATTATCTAAACCATCTTCAAAACAATTTTCAATCCTTTCCTCTATAATATCATCAAAAGAGTCATGATCATGAGAATGTGATGCCATTACTTTTTAAGAAGCAAAACGTCCAAAAAAACTAAAAAGAGATTTGTGTTTTGAAAAGGAAAACAATTGAAAGAGAATTGGTTTTAGAGAAGAAAAACAAATAAAAGAAACTTGTTTATAGAGAAAGAAAACAAAGAAATATTTTTAGAGAAAGCAAACAAATAAAAGAGACTTGTTTTTAGAGAAATAGAAGAAAGACTTGTTTTTAGAGGAATATGAGAAAGAGGAAGAATCGTTATGAGAGTTGTATTGAGAAATATGAGAACACAAAGACATATATATAAGAGAATATAAAATCATACATTGTGCATCATACAATATAAAGTAAAACATTGCCGACCATACATTGTCGACAATAATACATTCATTCATACAATACAAAATAAAAACAACTAGGTTCTGACCATAGAAAAACAACCACTTGCGACCATACATTGTGCCATACCAAAACAAAAAACAAGTGGCTTCTGCTTACAAAGTACATCCGAGTAAAAACAGACACAGTACACTACAATAAAGCAAAAGAACCACTCAATCCATTCCTTGCCGACATCACTAGCTTCCAAGAGGAGGGCCTGCACATAATTAAGCAAAAGAAAATGAAATCATACGACATATTAAGTAAACAAAACAACTTAACTAACAACACATACCTAAAGACCAGAATATTCATTCTCAGAAACAAACACATTGCTTCCAGACAGATACTCTTTGATAAGAGTGTTCTTAAGTTCAATTTCCATCTCACTCAATCCATCAGACCTTCCAAGAAGGCTGTCAAGTAGCTTCTGCTTGGAGAGTCTCTCTTTGAAAGCCAAATCTTTCTCTTTCACTTCCCACAAAAGCTGAAGTTCAGCAGCAGAACCAGCGTCAGCTCCTTCAATCTTTCCCTTACCTTTGGACTTGGCTAAAGCCTTGGCTGCCTTGACCCCTATTGGCCTTTTAAGACTATCTTCTTCTACTTCAGAAAGTTTAGCTTTCTTCTTAACAGGAAGTTTTGTCTCACACCAATTGCACCATTTCTGATCAGTCTTGAGGATTCTCCATACATGCTCAAGACTGAACTTGGTTTTTTGATCCTGGTGGTACAGCTTGTAGGCAAGCACAAGAACGTCATCTTCAGTCTCTCCACTGCGAGGAGTCCGAGAGGCAAACTCATAACAGCCTGCAAACTTCATGACAAGCTCATTCATTTTTTGCCATTTCTGCTTGCAAGTGTTGGCCTCTCGGATGGTGAGCTTAGAGACAGCAGGACATGCAGCATAATATACTGCAACCCTATCCCAAAAGGCAGCAGATCTCTGCTCATTCCCTACAACAGAGTCTTTGGATGTGTTGAGCCAGGCACTTGCAAGTGCCTTCTCTTCAGGAACACTCCATCTCACTCTAGGTTCCCTAGCTACTGCTGTGGGTGTTTGGGATTCAGAACAAAGAGGTTGTGAAGGACTGAGAGGAGGAGGCTGTGAAGGACTGAGAGGGGTTGGGTTTTCTTCTTGGCTAAACAAGAGATTGGTAAAGGATTGAGAGGAGGAAAAGTTCAAGTTGGAAGCCATTTTGTGTTTTAGTTCAGTTTAATGGTTTGTTTAAGTTCTCAGAAACTTATTATAAAGACAAACACTCATGACAAGATCAACCAAATTTGTATTGAATACGAGTCATTATAGTTCAGTTTAAGTGTTTGGTTTACTAATTCAACTCACTGAGACACTTCCCATCTCATAACTTCAGTTAAAAAAGCTAATGTCTCATCATCATTTTAATTCCCTTTAATTTTAAGTTCAGACTTGCATTTAATACAACCTCATCACCAACAATATCTAGATCATTAAAAAGACTCTATACACAGAGAAAATATTCTTATACAGATGACATTAAATTCACTCTCAACAATATCTACCTAATCACTATTAAATTCAACTTATCAGTTTCTAGTCAATTCAATTGTTCAAAATATCAATTCAAATCAATTGAATTCATTTAAGTTTCAATTCATTGTTCCTAATCTCTATTCAGATAGGATGCAGCTTTAACACACAGAAACTGGAAACTGATAAGTTTTACCTTTCACCTTTGCAGCTTCTCATCGTTTCAGGATCTGACAATTCTCACCATCCTTGAGTGACTCCACAGCTGCAAAACAATATTTATAAAGGTCAAAATAATGATCCTGTGATCAAAATATTGATCCTGTAAACCAAAATCTTAGTTTACCTGTCCATCAACAATTATGAGAAGAACATGGTATTGCCCTCCACTTTCTTCCACAATTGTCATCGTCCTTTCAATAATGGGTGCAAAAGAAGTTGGCCTTGTGACAGAAGCAACCATTGCTCTTAGTGACATCAATACCAACAATCAAATTCGATGACTCCAAACCAGTATGAGAAAGAGCACCTATAACCTATAAAAACACAAGAATCTATAAAGAGCACATTCAAGAAACATAACCAACAAACACAAGAACTCACAAGAATCTCATAAACATGACCAATCTGTGGAAACTTCTTCTTGCCTTGATTCTTTTGCGGAAGAAAAGGCGCCTGAAACCCAGAACTGTATGATGAAACAGGAGCCGGTACCACAATCCTTTAATGTAACCTATAAAGAAACAAGTTTGAATTTTTCAACGCAAATATCAGAAAATAATCTAAAAACTGAGGAAAGATCCAATCTTTGTTGACTTGTTCAAATCAATCAAGAAATTTAAAGCCCTAATATGTGTTGAAGAGATAAAGGACGGAATATAGCTCCTTCAAAAAGGATTAATCATAATCGAATTGAAGCAGATCTTACAAAAGAAAGTCTCACAATCAATTTCAAAGAGAATCAGCTCATTTTTCAGTAGATCGAACGAAGATCGGATGAAAACCGACAGAGCAAAATGAGAAATGATGTATAAGATGAAGAATAACCTCGGAGAGAGACGGAGTTGGAGCGGTCACTGCTTTCGCCATTGAAAGTGTGTGGTCAAGAGAAGCTCGAAGAATCTTCAGATGACTGGAGAGCGACGAGGATCGGAGACAAGAATCTGTTTTTTTTATGATGACACTCTGAGAGAAACCCTAGACGGCCGGAAGAGAAGAGTAGGTACCGAAAGCAAGATCGTGAAGACGAATCGGCGGAGGAGAGGGAAACTCGAAATCGGCGGAGGAGGAGGAGTTCTAGGTTTTCTCGGGAGAGAGAGGTGAGAAATTTTTTTTTCTCTGCCTTTAGCCAAAAACGCGTTTGCAGCACCAATCAGCACGTGCCACGTCGACTGATACCCAGTATCAGAAGTATCAGTCTACTGATACGGCTCAGGCCCAAAAAAATTGTTTGGTCTATTAATTAATATTTTCTGGGCTTATGATACCCATAATAAATCACCGCTGGGCATGGTCTAAGAGGGTATCTGAGAATTAAAATAAAAGACAATTAAGAAAAAAGAAAAAAGAGACAAATGAAAAGTTCTCGCGGGCCGGCTTCTCTTTTAAGAAACTTTCACATGGATATTACCGTTACGGAGTGAAAAATATAGATCATGAAGTAGATACCACAAAACATATACGTTTTCACAATGAAAAAAATCATAATAAGGAAAAAAAAAAAAAAAAAAATATGAAGAGTAAGCGAAAACTACAACTACAATTGTTCCCAAAATGACGCACGTCCACATCTGTTGAAAAAAAACACATATCAATCATGGATCTATCGTCTTGTCTCTCTCTATGGTATGGATGATCATTATCGTTTGTTTTATGCCAAATATCGGAGAGAATAATCTGCATGCATGGTTAGGTATTTCCCAAGTGATGACTGGAGTGCCCTGCCTACCCGTTTCGGGTTCTGGCCGGGGAATCCAACCACCACCGGAGTGGTCAGCAGCCGTGTTTTCTCTGCTAGACTTCCGGTGGTTTGTCGACAGATTCACGATAAGCAGCCGTTCGGAATGTTCAAAGGCGAAAATGGCATGAACTACACATTTTCAACATTTTTGATCGAAGCAATACTCATCATTTTGTTCATCAAAATTGTTTACTTCCTCCTTCGACCTCTTCGTCAACCTCGTATAGTCTGCGAGATCATTGTTCGTCTTCGATCTTATATATATTTTCTTTTATATATATGAATAATAAAATCCATTGATGGAGCTTATTAATATTGAGACAAAATTGTTTTGTGTTTTGAAGGGTGGGATGATGATAGGACCGTCCATGCTTGGAAGAAGCCGAAACTTCAATTACTATCTGTTTCCTCCAATTGCGAATTACATATGCGCGAACATAGGACTGTTGGGATTCTTTTATTTCTTCTTCCTCACGGCTGCCAAGACGGACGTTGCAGAAATCTTTAAAGCACCAAGAAAGCATAAGTACATTGCTGCCATTAGCGTTTTGGTGCCGATTGCTTGCGTGGGGGGCACGGGGGCTGCCTTGAAAGAAAAAATGGATGTAAGATTGCAGAAATCTTCTTCCATTGGAGGGGTCACGTTCGCCTTGGGTTTCACTTCTTTTCCAGTCATTTACACTGTTTTGAGAGACATGAACCTTCTCAACTCCGAGATAGGAAAGTTCGCCATGTCAGTGACTCTCCTCGGAGACATGGTAGGGATCTACGTGCTTGTTTTGTTTGAAGCCATGGCGCAGGCTGACGGTGGAGGAGGAGCATACTCTGTCATATGGTTTCTCATCTCATCGGCTATCTTGGCCGCTTTTTTGCTTTTGGTTGTGAAACGAAGCTTTGAGAGGATTGTCGCCAAAACGCCTGAGGGAGGACTCGTGAACCAAAACTACATAGTCATGATTCTCATGGGTGTCCTTGTCTCTTGTTTCCTCACCGACATGTTTGGTATGGCTATAGCCGTTGGACCCATTTGGCTAGGGTTGGTGGTCCCTCATGGCCCACCGTTGGGTTCCACGTTGGCTATTCGGAGCGAGACCTTCGTTAATGAATTCTTGATGCCTTTCTCTTTTGCTTTAGTGGGACAAAAAACCAATGTCAACTTACTTAGCAATGAGACTTGGCCTAAACAGGTCTCTCCTCTTGTCTACATGAGCATCGTTGGCTTCGTCACCAAGTTTGTCTCCTCCACTGGCGCTGCTCTCTTCTTTAAAGTCCCCACTAGGGACAGTCTCACGCTTGGCTTGATGATGAACCTGAGAGGCCAGATCGATATCTTGCTCTACTTGCATTGGATCGACAAACGTATGGTAGGCTTACCCGGTTATACTGTCATGGTTTTGTATGCCATTCTGGTCACGGGTGTAACAGCGCCGCTCATCAGTTTCCTCTACGATCCCACTCGGCCTTACAGAAGCAGCAAGCGCCGCACAATCCAGCACACTCCTCAGAACACCGAGATGGGACTAGTTCTTGCAGTCTCCGACCATGATACCTTCTCTGGCTTGATCACCTTTCTCGACTTCGCCTATCCCACTAAAACTAGTCCTTTTTCTATATTCGCAATCCAGCTTGTGGAACTGGAAGGGCGTGCCCAACCGTTGTTTATTGAACACGACAAGCGAAAGAAGGAGGATGAAGAATACGAGGAGGAAGAGGAAGAGCCGGAGCGTATGCGGAGGAGCAGGCGAGTAGACCAGGTGCAGAGCGCCTTTAAACTGTACCAAGAGAAAAGAAGTGAGTGTGTGAAGATGCATGCCTACACCGCCAATGCTTCAAAGCATCACATGTATCAAGATATTTGTGGGGTGGCCTTGACCAAGAAAACCGCTTTCATTGTCTTACCTTATCAGAAAGAGCGTCTTCAAGACGCAGCTCTTACCGAGCTACGTGACTCCGGCATGCTATCTGTGAACGCAGACGTCTTGGCACACACACCTTGCTCTGTCTGTATCTATTATGAGAAGGGACGACTTAAAAACGCCATGGTTCGGTCATCCATGGACCCGCAACACACAACAAATTCAAGCCATATGAGGCAAGAAATGTACCGTTTCGTGGTTCTGTTTTTAGGAGGAGCTGATAACAGAGAAGCTCTGCATCTGGCTGATAGGATGACGGAGAACCCGTATATAACCTTGACAGTTATTAGGTTCTTGGCGCACAACCACGAAGGAGAGGATGAGAGGGAGAAGAAGCTAGACGATGGGGTGGTGACGTGGTTCTGGGTCAAGAACGAAAGCAACGAAAGGGTTAGTTACAAGGAGGTTGTTGTCAAGAACGGTGCTGAGACATTGGCTGCGATTCAAGCAATGAATGTTAATGACTACGATCTGTGGATAACCGGGAGGAGAGAAGGGATCAACCCAAAGATTCTGGAAGGACTTTCTACGTGGAGCGAGGACCACCAGCTTGGAGTCATCGGAGACACAGTGGCTGGGAGCGTTTTCGCCTCGGATGGTTCGGTGTTGGTGGTGCAGCAACAAGTGAGGAACCAGAAGGGTGGTGATGGTTTCTTGAACGGCAAGTTTGATTACAAGAAATTAGTGTCTCCTTGGTCTCACTCTCATAATTGATTTTAATTAGTACCATTTCTTGATTGATAGGTTTCTTAATTTTCTTTAAATCCAAGTTGTACAATCTGTATTATTGTTGGGATTTGCTTTTTATTTGCATCCCAATCTATAGACGATTTAATATTATTCCAATATAGAAGCAGCTTAATTAGCTAGCTAAATCATGTTTCATTTTTTTTCTCTCAAAATGTATTGAAACATCAATCAATCTCTGTTCCTGTCATGAATGTATTCCCAAAATGAAATGGCCAAAAAAAGCAGAGATCTTTCTCTAACATGTTAAAATGATTCGAGATCAAACATGGGACATCTGTTGCTTGAGCGTTTCCAGTAGCTTTCTCTTAGATTCACAAATCTGGAGAAACTCACGGAGAACTATCTGTTGCGCCATAACTGTTTTACGTGCGGTATCTGCCGTGTTCCACGATTTCAGTGCTTGAAAGATGCGATTTCCAACCTCCGATTCTTCGCTGGATGCGATGAAACTCTCTAATACCCCAAGAATCTGTCCCGGTCCTCCTGCTGCATCTTCATCTCTCTTCAGAGTTGACAGAAATCTCTCCACTTGTTCATCTTCTTGATGGTTCAGTTGATTCAGTAGCCAGCTAGAAACTTCTTGTATTGTGCTGCATAGTGAATGTATAGAATCTTTGATTGCTTGCGACATCGGGGAGGAAGATAATTGATCTGAATGTTGATTTTTCTTCTTCTTTTTCCCAGATGGGAGAGACGATCGGGTACAGGCCTGAATTATAAGACTGTGCCACGCCAACGGTTCAGTGACGATCTGGATCAAAACCTGGACATCAGAATAGCAAGAACTCATGTCTAAAGATCCCATTGATCTGACTCTATCCAGAATAAGCCTCTCAAACAGGGAGTTCAACACATGCCAATGCTCATGGGAACTTAGGCTCCACGCATTCCAAAACACCGCAAAATTCAACCAGTCCACCAAATTTGAACCAAGGCTCTACAGAGATGTTCCAACAAGGTTACTAACGGTAAGACCAGTTAACTAAACATGAGTGCAGGTGGAAGGAGAAAGGAGTAGAAAAGCTAACCTCGGAAGTCCTTACACCCTGTGAGATCCCTGTGATCATTTCTACAGCGTCATTGAGAGAACATCCCAACATTTTTGTGTATTCATCCAGCAAACACTTAAGTTCTCCACAGATTTTGACGTCACCTCCAGACCCATTGGTTTCAGCACTCTCCTTTAATGCCGTTGACGTGCACTGAATAGAGAGATATATCATCCGAGGTAGTAGGGATTTTCTCTGGATGGCTCGTTTCATATTTTCTTCACGATCGTCTTTCTATACACAGCCAACAAGTACAAGTATATTATATTAGATTGCATCCTTCCACAAGAATGTATGGATAATAATAGACACACGTACCACATCCTCTTTGGGGCAGTAAGAAATTTCTTCAAACGGACCTACAAACGTTGATAGATATTAAGAATAACACCACAATCATAAACAACAACTAATGTGAAGGAAATACTGACCTAGTAGATAGTTTTTCTCAGGACAAGGTGTCCACCATGGACGTGTTTGCATATCTTCATTGAACCTCAGTGTCTTGGAACCAATGTCATTTGAGAGCTCCACAAGTTGAACTCCAGATTTCAGGTTTTCAAGAATGCGCTAGAAAAAAAAAATCACAGGCAAAGTTAGATATATACTATGGTAATTTACATGATAAGAACTTGGATGAGTTACCTCTTCTTCCTCGACACTGTCTGCGTTTTGCTTCAATTGCAAGACAGCCGCTTCAACTCTTGCAGCTTGGTA